TTTGTACTTTTTTTCCCCTCTCGTTTAGTTTTTGTCACAATATAAAACAAAAGCAAATATTTCATTCGTAACTAAGTTGCAGTTTAACATTTTAAAGCCGACAACGAATGTACACTCGTGTTCTTTTTCAACTTGTATTCAAAGGGGCCAATCATGAATTCAATCGACTCTACGTTGACTTTTAAATTTGCATGATGCAGATCTCCAGGGACTTTGGAGGCCGCCGGAGGCCGCCGGGGTCTGGTCTGGAGTCGGCGCGGTGGACGGTGGAGTGTCTCTCGCACTTCCATTTCAAAGGGAAAGTTTGGAAACCCGATCGGGCTTGGCTGGATTCTAAATCAACAAAGTTGCGTTGATATTGAGGAGCTCGTCCGCTCGGGGACAACAAAGCAGGTCGTCCGTCTTGTCTCGCTCCACATCCGTCACCGCTGCGGAGTCCTCAAGTCTGATGGCTCCAAACACTCGCGTGGGAACCCATTCGGAGCATTCCGCATCAACCCTGGTTTGACAACGGTCTACTTCAAAAATCTTCACTTAAAAGACTACCTTCGAGCGCAAACATTTGAAAAACCCGAACCCTGGCTTGAAAGCTTACTTTTGAGACTTGCTGCTCATTTGGACGGAGTCACTTGTTAGTTTTGGTTCTTGGTCAACTAATCCTGCCAGACAACGTGACATGTTTTTTTTTTTTTTTTTTTGAGTCACTTTGTGTTGTTACATGTGTTAAAGCTACTTTTTGTTTGGCGTCTTGAAGGATTGAAAAACTGCATGCAGGCCTACAATCTGATTGATGGCATCAAGGTCAGCTCAGATGCGTTGGGCAGGATCACTCCCCCTCCTCTGTCCCCCCCACCACCCACTCCCATTCCCCACGGAGTGTTCCACATCTGCGATAGGCCTGAATCTGACACACGTTGTCACCTCCATGTTGATACGGTGCCAACGAGGGCTCCGGCCCGCGCGTCAACTTGTGGAAGGTGTGAGGCAGAATCATAAAATGGATCTGCAAGACATTTGCAGATGTAAAACGGCAGCGGAGAAGGAGACGTAAACATGCATGAGGACTCCCAAGACTGGAAAAATGTGGAGAGACGCCGGTGATGCTCAGCAGAAATTTCACATGCCAGCAACTGTAATTTCCAAGACACTGAAGCGCCGAGAAAATCTGCAATAGCGAGAAGTCATATGAAAAACCTCTCCCGTACTTTCAAAAGTCTCCTTGAAAAAACTTTAAATACATTTTAAAGGTTTTCAAGGAGACTTTTGAAAGTGTTTTTTTTGCCTCTTGTAACACGATCGGTGGCGCACTTCCCAAAATAAGGGCCAAGCGTGTTTGCTTCAAGTCCACTTGAGGTTTACTGTAAAATGGACATATTTGTATATAAACATTGTATATTTAAATGGCAAGATGTTGACCTTAACCACAAATTGACTATAGTCTGCTGTTTATTTTTAATCATCCGCTCTTCTAGTCTTCTTATTATTTTGGACAAAACACAACTGTACGTTTCCTGTTCTTCTGCCTTAAAACACGCTTAATGGTGGACTAGCGCCACCAACTGATATTGTCCTTCCGCTGCAAGGAAAACACTTTAAATTGATGGTGGCTGAATGTTTGCCGCTATCATCTCGTGGAAGGTTATCTGACGTGCACTCGTACCTCAACAAAACTACCGTGTTTTCAGAACTATAAGGCGCTCCGGCGTATAAGACGCACCCTCAATGGATGGCCGATTTAAAAACTGTTTTCATATATAGGGCGCTCCGCATTATAAGGTGCATAGAATAGAAGCTACAATAGCGGCTGTGGATATAATGCATCCACTAGATGGAGCGACGCTAAAGAGAATACAATACAATACAGCTTTATTCATATCGAGCTTTCACAACCGCTGCAGCTGTAACAAAGCGCTTTATAGAACATTTAAAATAGGACGTCCAAGAAATCAGAATATTGATCCATATACAGTATAAGGAGGGTTGGATTATTAGGCGTACCGTCGGCTCTTGAGAAAATGAAATGGTTTTAGGTGCGGTTTATAGTGCGGAAAATACGGTAAGTTAACTGGTGGCCGAATGTTGCAGAGTTGGGGTTTCTGAAACACATCTCACATTTTTTTTCAAAACGCTCACAAGTAGAGGCACTGAGAAAGGTACCAGCGCCACCACAAATTGAGCAACGAAAACCCAAGCTTTTGAATTTCAGACGCGCAACCGGTTTGACAGAGGCCAGGGACCAGACACTGATGTCTGGAGACGGTTCCTCTTGGAAAGCGTGTCCAGTATTTGGGTTGCCGGCACAACGCCCACCTCGGAACATGAAGGCGTGAAAAGTTGCTACGCTTCCTGATCTCCCACAAACACCCACATTGGCAGAGTCGGCCGACATCAAAGCGGGCCGTGACCTTGCATACCAGCCCCAGTTCCGATTAACGAGCTCTGGACATCAAACGGCAAGATCGCCCGAAATCGAAACCCGCCGAATCCCCCAATCCCGCCCCTTCCCCCGCATCGCGAAACCGCTAGAATTTATGGCAGACAAGAATGTCCACAGATCCGCCGTGATCGTTTGAACGCAGATGATGTTTGAAAACAGTCCAATTAGGCGGCGTGGGGGAGAGTGCCGCGAGCTGGCACAACGCCAGACTGCAAGCCCCCCACGCACCCACCAAGCTCGGATAGGACGGCTCGAAGACATTTTTTTTTTTTTTTTTGGAAAATCAAAACACTTCTCTCGAATCATCCTTTCCTATTAAAATGTCATGAATCCATTCTGTCTCCCTTCGTCGCTCATTTTTTTTTTTTTTTTTTAATCAAAACACTTCTCTCGAATCATCCTTTCCGATTAAAATGTCATGAATCCATTCTGTCTCCCTCACTCGCTCGCTGTAAAACAGACTAATTTATGTCATGTGTTTTTAAGGAGAAAAAAAAATGCATTTTATTATGTTGTATTATTTTCATGAAAACATTTAGTGTGTGTGCCTTCGCCACGTGGGGACTAATAAATATATATATATATATATATAAATATATACACACACACACACACACACACACACA